GACCAGAGGAGTAAACGCACTTTTTCACTTCTCCGTCATTCATTCACTGCCTTATTCCCCTGAGTCTTCCCAGCTCTAGGAGCCCTAGTCGTACTCCTTACTGAATGAGGTAACCAGAGTGTCTGCTGGCTCAGTGGGTGGCACGTGGGACTCTTGATCTCGGGGTCGTGAGTTCAAGCCCCATGTTGGCTGTAGAGCTGACATAAAAGAAAAAAAATAAGGTTACTAAGCCACAGGCCTTAGTAAGTGGCCAAGTGGACCTCGCCGCTTACACAGAAAGTAAGCGGTATTTCTGGGATTCTATTTCAAACCCAAGCTTTTAATTTCAGTCAAGTGACAAACCCAAGATAAGGGAAGATAGACCCATAAGAAACAGAGTTGCAAAATGACAGAAACAGACTAATCAAGTCTAAATGATGGTGGGAAGAGGGTTTTGGAGCCCATGCGATTGCTTCCAAAAGATTTCCGAACGAGAAAGCACATGTTTGAGCAAGAAATTAATCATCTGGATATGAAATTCTAGACTATTTCATCGAACAGAGAAAATAAAAGGTGCCAAAGATCTTGTCTGATTCAGGGAGGAGGACATTGGAAGATTCTTTAATTATTGATAAAACAGATTTTAAAGTGAGCTTTCTGAAGTTTTTTTTATTTTTTAATTTGTTTAAGTAATCTCTGCACCCAATGTGCGCTTGAACTCACAACCCCAAGGTCAAGAGCTGTATGTTCTTCCAGCAGAGCCAGCCAGGTGCCCCTCAAGGTTCTTAATTAGCAGTTAATGAGGGGCGCCTAGGTGGCTCAGTTGGTTAAGTGTCTGGCTCTTGATCCTGGCTCAGGTCATGATCTCAGGGTGGTGAGATCGAGCCCCGGGTCAGGCGCCCGGCTAGCCACCGAACCTGCTTAAGATTCTCTCCCTCTCTCTCTCTGCCCCACCCCGCTTCTTTTCCTCTCTCCTTTTTTTTTTTTTTAAATTTTTTTAAAAGATTTTATTTATTTATTTGACAGACAGAGATCACAAGTAGGCAGAGAAGCAGGCAGAGAGAGAGGAAGAAGCAGGCTCCCTGCTGAGCAGAGAGCCCGATGCGGGGCTCGATCCCAGGACCCTGAGATCAGGACCTGAGCCGAAGGCAGAGGTTTTAACCCACTGAGCCACCCAGGCGCCCCTCCTCTCTCCTTCTTTAAAACAAAAACAAAACAGTTAATGCTAACTATTAGCATGAAAGGGGAAACTTGGAGGCGGGGTACACAAGCAAACCTGATAGGCCCAGTAAAGGATTACAAAAGAAAACAACGGATCAATGTATTAAACAGAACAGGCAAAGTAAGACTGAGAACATGGGTGAGCATAATAACTGTAAATTCGTTAAATTCTCCTGCTCAACAACAAGGATTCTCATAATGAAAAGACATACTAAATCCAGGTAAATGCTGTTTTCAGGGACAAAACAAAGACAAATAACAAATAAAAGAATGGGAAAATAAAGACATATAGAAGGTAGGTTGGCAGTTTAATACCAGGAAAATAGAACTAAAGAAAAAGATTTTTGGGGTTCCTGGGTGGCTCAATGGGTTAAAGCCTCTGCCTTTGGCTCAGGTCATGATCCCAGGGTCCTGGGATCGAGCCCCACATCGTGCTCTCTGCTCGGCAGGGAGCCTGCTTCCCCCTCTCTCTGCCTGCCTCTTTGCCTACTTGTGATCTCTGTCAAATAAATAAAATCTTAAAAAAATATATTTTTTTAAAAAGGGGGGCTGGAGTCCTTTATTTTTACACTATTTAAAGGTACAATTTGTGTAGAATATGTAATAACGTGTTGCATTCTCAAAAACAGAACATCAGCACAACTGTTAGAAATACACAAAATTGGGTACCTGGGTGGCTCACTCAGTTAAGCCTCTGCCTTTGGCTCAGGTCATGAGCCCAGGGTCCTCAGACTGAGCCCCACATTGGGCTCCCTGGTTAGTGGGGAGCCTGCTTCTTCCTCTCTCTCTGCCTGCCGCTCCCCCTGCTTGTGCTCTCTCCCTCTGTCAAATAAATAAATCTTAGAAAACATATATACAAAATTATTGTGGGAGACTTTGTTACACCTTTTTTGAACTTTTCAAAGCAAGGAGAGGATTGTTTTTCTTTTTTTTTTTTTTTAAAGACTTTATTTATTTATTTGACAGATGGAGATCACAAGTAGGCAGAGAGGCAGGCAGAGAAAGAGGGAGGAAGCAGGCTCCCCGCTAAGCGGAGAGCCTGATGCAGGGCTTGATCCCAGGACCCTGGGATCATGATGTGAGCCGAAAGCAGAGGCTTTAACCCACTGAGCCACCCAGGCACTCCCCATGTTTTTCAAGTCAGTAAAGGTAAAGAGAGTTTGAACAGCACTGTGTTCTAAGTTGTGTAACAATATTTTGGCAAGATTAGAGGAAATGGTTAGGCAAACAAGTGGCCTTCGGCCCCACTCTTCCCCAGAGGCACTGTGGGTCCTTTTACCTGCTCATCCCACCACATCTTGAGTCCAGCAGAAGGTCCGCCAAGCCCAGCCTAACACAGGGACGGCCCCGAGGAAAGGCCTGAACAGCTGTCTTTGTGCAAAGGATCTTGGGCCAAGGCAAGACACCCTGACCATCTAGGCAATTGCAAGGTGAATGCAGGAAGAACAGATTCCTTCATTATCTTAGTTGCAGTGATGGCTTCATGGGTGTATGCATATGTAAAAACTTACCGAATCGTACACCTTATTTTTTTAAAGTTTTATTTACATAAGGAAGCTCTATACCACATGGGGCTCAAACTCAAGACCCTGAGATCAAGAGTCATGTGCTATTGTACACTTTATTTTTTTTTTAAGATTTTATTTATTTTAGGGGGCCTGAGTGGCTCAGTCAGTTAAGTGTCTGCCTTCGGCTCAGGTCACGATCCTGGGGTCCTGGTATCGAGCCCCACATGGGGCTCTCTGCTCAGTAGCGAGTCTGCTTCTCCCTCTCCCTCTGTGATCTGTCTCACTTTCGCTCTCTCTCAAATAAAGAAAAATGAAATCTTTAACTAACTAACTAAATAAATAAATAATTCTTGGGCCAAAAAAGAAAGACAATCAAAATCAGATTGTATAGAAATGAACAGTAATAAGCATACATCTTATCAAATCCGTGGGAGGCAAAGTTATACATGGAGAGAAACTGATAATGTCACTTTTTCTTTTTTTTTTTTTTTAAGATTTTTATTTATTTATTTGACAGACAGAGATCACAAGTAGGCAGAGTGGCAGGCAGGGGGTAGGGGGAAGCAGGCTCCCTGCTGAGCAGAAAGCCCAATGTGGGGCTCAATCCCAGTACCCCAAGATCATGACCTGAGCTGAAGGCAGAGGCTTTAACCCACTGAGCCACCCAGGCGCCCCATCACTTTTTCTATTATGAAGCATGAAAACTCAAACTAGTTTATAAACTAAGCATTCACATCAATGTTCTAGAAAAACAACTCCAGAACAAATCAAATCAAAGTAGAAAGAAGGAAATTAGAAATCTAAAAGCACATATTAGTTATTTTATGTAAAAACCTATGGAAAAACTTACCAAAGTAATCACTTTATTCTAAACTTTATTTTTTTCAGTAGTCTCTACACCCAACGTGGGGCTCAAACTCACGACCTCAAGATCAAGAGTCCCAGGCTCCCCTGACTGAGCCGGCCGGGGCCCCAAGAGCATAAATCAGTTATTTTAAAAGAAAGAGTAGAATGAGTTAATAAAATCAAGAGCTATTTTTAATATTTAAGGCTACTAAGATTATGGGGCACCTGGGTGGCCCAGTCCACTAAGCGTCTGACTCTTGATCTCAACTCAGGTTTCAACCTCAGGGTCCTGAGTTCAAGCCCTGCATTGAAAAAAAAACAAACAACATCAACAAAAAAACCCAAAAGATTTTCTAAAAGAGCCTGCTGGCAAATGTCACTGAGAGAGAAAAATAAAATGCAGACCGTTAATTAAGAACATAGGTTTATTCCCAGAAGTAGAGTTAAAAATTACAAAAGAGGGATGCTTGGGGGGCTCAGTTGGTTAAGCCTCTGTCTTCAGCTCGGGTCATGATCCCACGGTCCTGGGATCAAGCCCCACGTCGGGGTTCCTGCTCAGCCGGAAGCCTGCTTCTCCCTCTGCGGGCTGCTCCCCCTGCCTGTACTCTCTCTCTCTCTCGCTCTCACTCTCTCTCTGGCAAACAAATAAATGAAACCTTTTAAAAAATTACAAAGGAAAATGACATACAATTGTTTGTAAACTTTTGATATTTAGACAGTAGAACAAGACAAACGATTAAAACTGACTCCAGCAGAAATAAAAAGCCCAAATAGACCAATCATGAAGGAAGCAGTTGAAAACGTAGGAGCCACGCCAGGAAAAGACACTCTATCCAGATCTGTTCTGCGGAGGAAAATTTTATCAAATGTGCAAAGATCAGATAATTGTGATTTTATATATATTCTTAGGGGACACGGTCACATCTCTGTATATTAATGCATATTCATACATAAAGCAATGAATTTAGTATAATATAATGTGCAGGTCTAAACAAGCTGGAGACCACCAGAAGCTGAAGAGGCAAGGGTTCTCCCCAGAAGGAAGCCTGCTTGCTTTAGCCCCAGAAGCCTCACTGCACCCCGTGGCCTCCAGAGTGTAGGATAACACGTCCGGGCTGTTTTGCGGGGCACGGTGTTTGCCTAAATTATTTGTTTCAGCAGCTACGGGAGACCCAGACGCCCCCACCACCACCACCAAACCTCCTAACGGTAACCCCCGGGGCACAGAGTCTGGGGGAAACAAGAACTTTGATTCTTACCTTTACCTTTTGTGTTGCTGACATGCTCCCCGCCCCCAAATCATGCGGCCCTTTCATAATCAAGAAAAGAACAGCGGATGCAAGGGGAGCCCTTGCCCCCAGAGGGCAGTCAGGCGCTCCGGGGCTGCTCCGCGCTCCTCCAGCCCGAGGTCTCGCAGGCCCACCTTGTGCCTTGCTGCAGAGTCTGGATCCGAGCAGCTCCCTGCCCCCCTCCACCCCCCGCTGGGCTCCAGGGCACGCACGTTTTGCATCCTGACACCACCCAGAGCGCTCAGGTGTGAGTCCCCGAGCTGCAGTGGGAAGGAAAGCCCGAGGGCAGATCCTGCGGGCACACCGCCAAGGAAACAGCCCACTGCCCAGCCGGCACCCAACAGTCCCTGTCCCACGGAGGCGGGGCCGACGCCCACCCCTTACCACTTGCCCAGGAGGGCCTCAGGGCCACAAAGGTGAGCCCACGGCAGGTGGGGTGTGGGTTGTGTCCTCGCGGGAGCAGGACACTCAGCGTGGCCCCTAGGCACCTGGCGTGGGGGAGGGGGCGAACACAGCCCTGACGTCAGCTGTTTCCTGGGGTGACTCTTTCCTCTCTCTTATGGGTGGAGGTCCAATTCCGAGCTGCTGCGGCTCGTCTCTGCTGTCTCTATAGCAACGTTCACGTGGATTTCCTAGAACAGAAGGTGCTGGAGCTGGAAGGGACCTCAGAGATCAGCTCCTCCCGCCCCCTCGTTTCAGGGAGAGGGGAGCGGGTCCAGAGACACCACATTCCCCGGGACCCGTAGCACGCCAGGGATCCAGCTGCGGCTCCTGCCTGCGGGCACCCTTCCCCGCCAGTGTCCCTCCCCTGAGATCGCAGACAGCTGACTTCCCGAGGACTGATTTACGGGAGGTGCTCTGGGGTCACTGGGCTTAGCTTCGCCGCTCTCCCCTTCCGAACAGACCCCTGGAGTCCGGCCCAGCCCCGTCCTGCTCAGTCACAGATCTCTGCATTCAGGGCTCCATGGAGGCAGAGCAGGGAGGCTGGGCGCTGTTCTCAGGAGGCCCAGAGGCTGGGGCTGAGGCCGGGCAGCCCCCCTCTCCCTATCACTGGGAGCCACGGTCGGTGGCCAAGTGGATGGGGCAAGAACAGGGGGTGGGAGGAGCCAGGGAAGGCTACCTGCCTGGGGGAGGGGGCTCCAAGCAGGGCCCGGCAGGTCAAGAACTCTGATCCCTGCCCCAGCCTGCCTGACTTGGCCCACTTGGGAAGGGGGCTCCAGAGACAGACTGCCTCAGGCCACAGATCCTAGAGGGCTGTTGTGTCTGGGGACTCCAGGACCAAGGGGCCAGACCCCCCGGAGGGCAAGTCAGAGGGCATGGGGCCCCAGTCTGCGAAGGCACCTGGCACGGGCGCCACCAGAGGGCGCTGGGGTGAGGATCCCCTCTGGAGACTGGTCTGCCCCGTGAGGCAGGAACAGCTGCGGGGTTGCTCCAGCTCTCTGGAGACCTCTGTCTGTCCAGCAGAGTCAGCCCTATGCCAGGAGAGTTGAGGGTGACGGGCATCCCTCCCCTACGCTGCACTCTAGCTCAGCCCGGTAATCTGGGCAGCCCAGGTCCAGCCAAGGCCATGCTCCTGAACTTTCCCACCAAACTGGCCCTTTCCCTCCCCCTTGCGGGCAACCTGGTCTAGTTATCTCTTGCCGTGTAAACACAAAAAAATCTCCCAATGCTCCCGAATCTGCCGATTGGGCCGGGCTCCGTGGGGACAGCTGTTTCTGGTCAGCATGGAACCCACCGGGACCAAAGCACCCATCGCCGGACGACTTCCTGGGTGGCAAGTGGGTTCCTCTCCCTCTGGGATTCTTCACAAGGCCACCTGGGCTGTCTCACATCGTGGCCGCCGGGCTCCAAGAACGAGTTTTCCAGGACACAGGAAATAGGGGCTGCCCGTCTGTAGGGTCTGAGTCCGGAAATGGACATGGGGTCACTTCTGCCCTGCGTATTGGTCAGAGCAATCACAGAACCAGAGGTTGGGGACAGAGGCCTTCCTGCCTGATGGGAGGCCAAAGAACTTGCCATCTGCCATGTGCCTCAGCGCTCCACCGCCTCTGCCCCAGGGGCTCTCTTCTTGCCTCACTGTCAGGCCTGCAGACTCTGTATTTCTGGGAGGTCTCCTCTGCCCCTGTTCCCTCCCCTGGGGTTACTGCCAGCCCCTCCTACGCATATCCCTGTCTACAGGCTGCACTGCGCCCCCCTCCTCTCGCCCCCAGCATGCCTGTAGCAGTGTCCTCTGCTGCTTTGCTCAGAAACCTCGCATGGCTCCCTACTTCTCGCTGAACGGTTTCCAAGCTCCTAGGCTAAACATTCAAGTTCACTTTAGAACCTAGCCCCCTCCTGCGTTACCAACCGGATTTCCTCCAAGCAACTGGACCACAATTTGGCCTCTGCTCCTCCGAATGCCTGCCTACTGGAGCTCTGACCCTGCATGTGTTCACTCCACCCACCTAGCAAGTCTCTCTGTCTCCTCTCCTGTTGGACTCCTGCTCAGCCTTCAAAGCCCGGATCAAATGTCCCTCCCCCACAGAGCCCTGCTCTAGCTACTTGATTATTCTAGGCTTGCCTCACTGCACACTGCGACGCAGGCTGCCTTATCCTTGTTAGCAATGATGTGTCCTGAAGTGGGGCCCGTTTCTAACTCATATTTCTTTCACCAATTTAATAAGTTAATCGAGGCCTGCAGCCAGCTGCCAGGAATACGGCAGTGACCAAGACAAGCTGCTTCCTGTAGCCAGAGAACTTCCATTCCAGAGAGTGAGACAGATGGCAAATGGAGGAACCAAGGGACATAATGATCAAAGATTAGGAGGATGGCTGGAAGGCAAGAGAGCCACGAAGAATGCATGATCCGGGGTCCTAGAACTCTCTCCCTTTGAAAGAAATCAGAGACCTGGGTTTTTACATATATTCTTCTAATTTTAAAGGTTTCAAGGTCAAGTAGTTCTCTTCGGCTGCTTTCAGCCTTCCTCCCCTCCTGGCTCCCCACTCTCTCTTCCTGGTTACCCCATTAACACTAGCCCTCACCCTCAACTCAGCTACCTTACCTACAGCCCCCACCCCTAGGGCACCCAAACTCCCTTCTGGTTTCCCTTGGGCAACAGCTGACAGGAGGAGATAGGGAGCCTCTTGCCTGGGACCCAGGGGTCAGTGGGCATGGGCTGAGAACCTGGGCCAGCCACCCTGAAATTGGCCTCATGGAGTGTCGGACACCTGCTGTCCCCAGGGCCCCAGCAGCAGGAGCTAACCCTCCACCCCAAGCCCCTCGACCCACACATGTGGGCATTGGCCTCGAAGAAGTGGGGGTCCTGAGGAGTGAGACAAGAAAGGAGGCCCAGGGGTCCTCAGAGGGCTTCGCCAGGTTTGACCCCCAGCTCTGACAAGGCCTTGAGGGACGGGTCTCCCGAGTCCTGGGCCAATGCCGCTAGATATGTTCTCTGGATCCAGAGTTCCCAGGCACAAATCCTGGCTCTGTCACCTTCCAGCCTGGTGACCTTGGACAGCTCTCTTCCCCTCTTCCGGCCTCAGTTTTCCCACCCAGTCACTGGGGATCCTGGCACCACCCACCTCACAGGATAGTTTTGAGGACTCGTGGCTGACACACAATAAAAGGCAGCTTCCCGCAGCCTCTCCCATGCAGGGCCTCGCCTGAGCCCCCTGGGGAATCCCTGGCTGTGTTCTCCCAGACCTCAGAGCCCTAGAGGCAGCTTCTGTCCATTATCATTATTGGGCTCTGAATGGGCTAGGGGCCATGTGACAGCTGTCACATCCTAGGGGACAGCCAGGCCATCCCTCCAGCTGCCACAGAAGTATAGAGCAGAGGCTGATCCCAGAACCGCTGCCCTTCTGCCTACACACGCTGCCCGAAAGCCCCATGTTGGCTCACTACCCCCGGGGTCCCACGATCATCTCAGCCTTATTCTCCAACCCCAGAGAATCCTGGGTGGAGACAGACAGTTCAGGGGAGGTGTCAGGCTCTGGAGACTGGTCTGCCAGGGACCAGCATGGGGTGGGACAGTCAGCACTTGGCCTCTTTGAGGCCAGAACCTGGCACCAGAAGGCCAAGGAGCTAGACACCTCCTGGGGGGAGGGGCCTCCCACCTCCTTCTCCTCCCAGACCCCTGGGGTAAGGGCCACTCAGAGCGCTTGCTGCTCCTGTAACTCGGATTTCCTCTTACCCAAGGATCCTGGGGCTTCAGCCCAGCGGGCAGAAGCTGCGGGGGAGAGCGCCCTGCCGCTCTCAAGTGTTAGCTTGTCCTGCTGCCCATAACCAGCTGTCAGCTGAGCCGGGAGTGCTCCGAGCGCCCGGGGTTTGTTTGCCTGCCCCAAGGGGAGGGGTGGGGACACAGCGGGCCAACTGGCATCTCTGGCTGAGAAAAGACAGAAACCCAAGGTGTCCGCCCCACGCAGTCCCACTGCCTCAGCGCCCCAGTCTCGGGGCACTCTCCTCCACTCACCCGGTCCCGGGCCCAGAGGCCATCTCGTGAGGGAGGGGTGGTGTACAGAGTGCGGGGAAGCGACAAGCCCAGCGTCCCACGGAGGTGGCCACGGAGCGGGGTCGCAGGGCCCGAGGGCAGGGTAGGAGCTGCCCGCACCCGGCAGAGGCGCGCCCACCCGGCGCACCTAGGGCAGTGCGGGGGGGCCTCGTGACCCCGCCCCCGGGAGGCCGTCTCATTTGCATGGCCCCGCCCCAACGCGGCCATTGGCGGCGGCGGCGGGAGGCCGGGCCTGAGTGGCTGCGGGCTGTGGGGCGCGGGGGCGGGGCGGCGGGGAGCGGGGTGCCCGGGATGCCGCGGCCACCGCTGCCGCGGGACGGGTTCGGGTCCGCGTCGCGCTCAGTGAGCGCGGGGAGCTGGGCTGCCCGGGGCGCGGCGGCTGCAGCGGGAGCTCCCTGAGTGCCCGCCCGCCATGTCCAGGAAGAAGACCCCCAAGACCAAGGGGGCCAGCGCGCCCGCCGCCTCCGCGCTGCCCGCCGCCAATGGGTCCCGGCCCGCGCGCCCTGGGACTGCGCGACCTGTCCCCCAGGCGCGGCCCAACGGGCCCCCGCAGCCCGGCCGGCCCTCGCTTGGCGGGGGCGACTTCTACGACGTCGCCTTCAAGGTGAGCCGGCCCCCACCCCACGCGAGTGCAGCAGGTGGCGCTCGGACTGAGCCCAGCGGGGAGGGGTCGGGGAGAGTCTGGAGGGCTCCGCGGACCCTGGGCAGGGAGCCCGCCCGAGCGGCACCCTGTAGCTGGTACGGCTGACACCGCGCACCGCATACACACACAGCTGTCAGACCCGGATTTCAGATACCCAACAGCTGGCATGGCCTGCCCGCTAACGCCCCAGCTGGCAGGGTCGGACAAGGGGTCCCGAACCTGGCAGGCGCTCCCTCCCCATTCCTTAATGGGCCCCGCACCCACCCGAGCCCCAGTTTCACCATTTCCCATATGCTGCCTTCCCTCACCCCCAGGATCTGTGGGTCTCCTCTTTTTGGGGGGAAAGGGGAGACTAAGAAGAGGTTTGCCAGTAGGGTGGGGAACACTGGGGCCTCCTTCAGACCTAGGCAGAAGCCTGTGCAGGGGTTGTCGCCACTGTCTTCAGGTTTTGGAGCCTTTGACAGCAGGCTGGGGGAGGGGTGAATGAGGGGGAGGCCTGATTGCTCCCTCTTGGTCTTGGTCCCTAGACCTGTCCTGGGCCTTCGCAGGCCAAGATCTGACCTCATGTGGCAAATTCCTCCAGAATCTTATGAGATTAGAAGAAGCCCCATGGTCTCTACCCCCAGAGGCCTCTCCAAAGGTCTCCAGCCACCAACCTCCAGACTCCACTCCCTACCAAGCCCCAACAGCTCCCCTTCCAGATCAAGCTTGGGTGTCTAGGGTCTGGGAGTGGGGTTAGGTAGGGCCCTGGATGGAAGCAGCCACCCCCACTCTCCACTAATTGAGACAGACTACTGTTCAAGCGAAAGGGGACTGAACCTTCTGGAGGTGGAAGCTGGGACCATAGCCGCCCTGTCTCCGCCTCCTCCTTGCAGGCCTGGGACAGTTCATCTACTCCTGACCAGGCCAGTTCAGGGAAGACCAGACACCCCTCTGGGTGGGCCAGCAACTCAGTCCCCTCTGGTCCTAACACCTCTGATCATCCTACTTGCCCCAGGTTATGCTGGTGGGGGACTCAGGTGTGGGGAAGACCTGCCTGCTCGTGCGCTTCAAGGATGGGGCATTCCTGGCGGGGACCTTCATCTCCACCGTGGGCATCGACTTCCGGGTGAGAACGGAGGCTGGTGTCCTCAGCACTGAGCCGACCCAGCCATGCCCTGCCCCACCCCCCTGCACCATCACTAAGTTCTCACAACACACCTGGGTAGTGTTCTCCCTTAGAACGTCCTGGGATACGTCCTGGTTGGGACGCTCAGGGTCAAGGTGGCTGAGGCGAGATGCCTTAACCACCAAAATGCTCCAACTCCTGATACCCTAAGGATCCTGGAGATGGGTGACGGTGGCATGTGACTGAAGCAGGGGGTTGCACTCCCTGTGCCTGGGGCTGTATTCTGTGCCTCAGGGTGGGTGGGCTGGGTGCCCCGGGGGTGGCCATCAGAGGGAACTCAATCCCATATTCCCTTGGGAGGCTAACATCACCGCCCCACTGTACACAGAGGCCAGGCAGCCTGCCAAGGACAGAAGAGAGAAGTGGCTGTGGGGTACATGCCCCCTCTTGGAGCTGGGGGTTGGGGGGTCCCTACCCTTGGGCAAGGAAGCTCACAGGAAAAGCTCCCACCTGGCTGTTCCCCCCTGCCAGAGCCCCCTCCCACATTGCCCCCAGCAGGAGGGCTGTGTTTCTGGGGGTTTTTTTTGGGGAGGGGAGTGCCCCTGCATTTCAGGGCTCCCCACATGCCCCTGACACCCTAACAGCCTGTAGGGCCAGCAGGGAATGACGAGGGCCAGAGCAGCCGAGCCCCCACTACCCACCAGTCTAAAGTCTGAGCGCCTTGCCAAGGTGCTGGTGTGTTCTAGACAAATCCCAAATTTGCATTTTTCTCACCCTTTAATTAGACCCAGTTGGCGGAAGGCTGGGAGGGAGGCCCATTCTGGGAACGGGAAAGGGGGCTCCCTCCAGTCTGGGGAGCCATTAGTTACCCTGCTTGGGGGTGCAGTCCCCCTCAAGTCTTCTGAGATGAAACAAGGGTTCAGGTGCCAGAATGGGACAGTGTAGGCCCCGGACACGTGGTCCTTGGACTGTTTTGGCCCCAACTTCCCCCTTCTCACCTCCCTCTTGGTTCTGGGGCAGGTGGTGAGGGAGATGAGGCCGCTTGGTTCACACCCCAGTTCAAGGGTGCCAGTGAAGGCGGGGTGTCCTCCCCAGCCTCCTCTCTGCCTGGCAGATGGCTTTGCCACTGGTTCCTGGGAGACCCAGAAGCACCCTGACAGCAGGAGCTTGGGGAAGAGGGAGGCGGTGTGGTCCCACCTACCAGGGCCAGAGGCCACCAGGCCCTCAGCCAGTGGTTGGCAGGCCCCAGCCCCACCCAGCAGATGGGAACCGTGGGATTGGGCCACTCCCTGCCAGTAGTTCTGAACTTCGAGGGCCTGCTGGGGGACCATTGCCAGCCAGCAAACACTCAGTGTGCACCCACTGTGTACCAGGACAAATTCTGGGCTCTGTGGTTACTGTACCAGGTCCTGTCCTGTGGCAGCTGTTGTCCCAGCAGGAAGGGAGGCTTTTAAATTTGAGCAAATATTTAGCTCTCGCTCTGTACTTTGCACACGGTAGCTCAGAAACCCACTGTGATGGGCACCCTGGTTATCCTCATTTGTGGATGGAGAGACTGAGGCACAGAATGTTAGTAATGGGCCTGGGGTTATACCAGGATGACTTCACCTAAGTCGTGTGGGTGGCTCTCTGAGCAGAAGCAGCATCACATGTAGAGCTGTGAGCAGCTGATGGCCCCTCAAAGGGGTTGGGGCAGGGCCTCTGGGCCTGCGGGCAGGCATTGGCAGGCTGCCAGGGTACGGGGACAGATGCATGTGGTGAGCCTGAGCCGGCAAGGAGGTGCAGAGAAGCAGACTAGGGCTAGGCGCCAGGGGGAGGTGAGGCGGCAGGGCTGGTCCAGAGAGGTGCTGTGGCAGGGCAGGGAGGAGGGGGAGGGCCAGACCAACAGGACTCCACGACTGACTGGGCTGCATCACTGAGGGCGGTGGAGCGGCAGGGGCCGTGTGCCAGGCCTCCGAGGTGGGCAGAGAAAGCACACACGTGGCCCGGGACGGGACACGGCCGGCTGCAGGGGGCAGCCCCCTCCAAGTCCATCAGGAGGGCCAGCTGAGTGGGAGAGGGGCCTAGAAATCACCAGGCACCGGGGCAGGGAGAGCTGGGGGGATCCCAGGATATGGGTTCAAGGCGCAAGTTTACCTGCAGGTACAAGGAGGCGAAGTGGCCAGACGAGAACCAGGAGGTAGGCATCGGGGACAGAACCAGCCAGCTGAGGGGCAGACAGGATAAGAGTGAATTTCGGGGGCATGCCAGCGGTTGCTCGATCTCAGGCTCAGTCCTGGCCTGGCACTGTGGCCACCCCCACTGCACCCTCAGGAGCCCCCAGCAGGGGGCAGCACTGTGTCTAGCTGCGGGGCTCACGGAGCTGGCTGGCTGTCTTTCAGAACAAAGTTCTGGATGTGGACGGCATGAAGGTGAGGCTGCAGGTGAGAGGTGGCGGGGGCGGGGGTGAGTGGCAGGGTGCGGGGTGGGTGAGGGACAGGGGCTGGCAGCCCTGACTCGTGGGCTGTGCCTGTCACTGCAGATCTGGGACACAGCAGGCCAGGAGCGGTTCCGCAGCGTCACCCACGCCTACTACCGCGACGCCCATGGTGAGCTGGTGGGCATGGGCGCCAGCCCGGGGAAACAGGAGGCTGCGCCCCCCGGGTGCCCTGCTGCCCTGGCCTCTGCTCAGAGGAAGGTGCCCTGGGAGTGCGCACGGCAGGCAGTGTGGAGGCTGCGATGCCCGAGGGTGTGGGGGACAGGAAGGTGCTGTGGGCCCTGGCGGTGTTCTCACGGGCCCTCTGCCCCCAGCACTGCTGCTGCTCTATGATGTCACCAACAAGGCCTCCTTTGACAATATCCAGGTCAGTGGTTTCCCCCCTTGTGGTGGTCGGAATAGGCCGTGTCGGCATTAGGGTCCCAGAGGGCTGAGCACCCTACTGACAGGGAGGAGTGTCCCCTCTGGTGGCTTGGGGTGCCTGTGAGCCAAACGGGGTCTGGGGACCTTCTAGCTCTGTCAAAGGTACTTGTCGGCGATGACTCAGCCTGGCACGGGGACCAATATTTCTGGGCCCCTGCCGTCGGCCAGAGCCGAACAGGCGCTTTGTGCAGTGTGGCCTGGAGGGGCAAGGGGCACGCAGGAGTGCCAGGCTCCAGCTGGCCTCAGCTTGCCCCCCAGGCCTGGCTGACCGAGACCCAGGAGTACGCCCAGCATGATGTGGTGCTTATGCTGCTGGGGAACAAGGTGAGCGCCCCGGCCCACCCTCCTCCACCCTGGCTCTTGGTGGTGGGGGGAGGGGGAGGGGCGGGCAAGCCCAGGGCCGGTTCTCACCAAGACCCCTGTGCCAGGTGGACTCTGCCCAGGAGCGTGCAGTCAAGAGGGAGGATGGGGAGAAGCTGGCCAAGGTGAGCCAGGGCAGGGTGGGTGGCCAGCGGTGTCCCTGGGGTCCAGGGCTCGGGCTGTCCCCACCAGGCTGCCACCTGGCTGGAAGCACCTGTTTGCAGGAGTACGGGCTGCCCTTCATGGAGACCAGTGCCAAGACAGGCCTCAATGTGGACTTGGCCTTCACCGCCATTGCAAAGTAAGTCCTAGTCTGCTTCCTGGACCAGGAAGAACCCCCCCACACACACCTGGGGTCTCTATCTCCTTGCTGGGGTAGAAGCCACTCTGTCCCATGGTCACCCCCGCCCCACAGGGAGTTGAAGCAGCGCTCCATGAAGGCCCCCAGTGAGCCCCGCTTCCGGCTGCACGACTATGTCAAGAGGGAGGGCCGAAGCACCTCCTGCTGCACGCCCTGAACTTGGGAGGGCCCTGCAAGGCTGAGGGAGGCTCCACAGCCCCCGCCCCCCCATTCAGTCATCCCGCACTCAATCCTCGGATACCCATTCCTGGGACCCCCAGACGGAGTCTTGCCTTTCCCAGAGGCTAAGGCCCAAGAGGCTTTAAGGAGCCAGTGGGTCTGCGCCCCCTTCACCTGCTGCTGCCTGAGGGCCTTGAAGGAAAAGCAAGGGTCTTGGGTACGGGAGGGAGCAGCCAGCACAAGTCCCTCTGCTGCCCCCTCCTGGACACGCCTGGCCTTGAGGCCAGGCCCCAGCGCCTAACCCCTAGAGAAAGCCATGTCTTTGGCTGCACATGCTGTCCAGGCAGGGAAAGCCAGGACTCCTGCCCGTGCCTGGGCCTGAGGGCGGCACCGCAAACCATACCATGCATTTGTGCCCCAAGGACCAGAGCCACCTGCTTCCAGCTCACACACTAGGAGACTCTGGTTCCAACGTCAACACGGACCTCCTTTCTCGCTACCTTGGAGAATGCCAAGGTTGGGGCTTTGTAATAGATGAACAGCATGTGGGAAATCACAGAAAGTCAGGGAAACTAGAACCGCCGGCCCCACCGAGACCTTGCATGGTGAAGTCAAGCCGGGGGCTGGTAGTGCGCTCCATGTTGTAGTCAAATTTTCAAGTCTATCTTTAGATTAATAAGCTTTGTTTTCAGTCCTAGTGAATAAAGTTTTGTTTTCTGGCCTGCGTCTCTCTTCTGCTGAAAATCCCCCTTTAGACCCCTCGGCAAAGTACAGATCATCTTTAACACTCAGAGAGTGGCACCCCGCCTGTAACTAGGTTGCTTGGAACCCCAATGGTCTCTAGGGAGCACGGGAAGCTAGGTGGTTTATGTCCATTCCCCTGCCCTTCAAAGACCCAGTGGAATAGAAAACAGAGCTCCATGGCCTGTTACTGAAGAATTAAAGAGTTCCTGATCTACCGAAGGCACAGGCCAAAAAAGCCCCCAGTATTTCTGGCTTTATAGGGAAATATGGAGAAGGCAGTTCCAACAGAGGGGGAGTCATGGTACGACCGACCATCTCCCTTGGCTCTGTCCCAAGACCGCTGGGAGACGAGCTGGTGTTCCTGTTGCAGAACCCAGACTGGATCACTCAACCAAAGAACCAAGTGGCACTCAGAGACCTTGGGGGATGTGAGGTCTACTTGACACAGCGGCGGGCTCAGATGAAAGTGATCTCCAAAGGTCTGAGCCCAAGCACACACAAGGGGAGTAATTTATACATGGCTAGTTCCGTGTACATGGCACTTTGGCGGGCGTGGCGAGCCGGGCAGGGACTGGGATTCCCCTGCTGGCCCAGTCGGCCATCTCACAAGTTTTCCTTATGATATCCCCCCCTTTGATGCCCCTTTAAACACTTAGCTTAGAGAGCATCATCTCCATCTACTCTGGGTCAGTAGCCTTGCAAAGATAATACGTAGGCAGTGGTCCGCCTGGTATTTTCTATCAGCTCGGAGGGTATTTAGGATGTGGGGACTAACAGTGATGAGGAGGATGGAGGAAGAGTGACTTCAAGGTCTGTTTAGCCTTTGTCTTCCTCGAACTCCTCCCCCATCTGACTGCCCACAGTGGGTTGGACGGGTCCAGCGAACTGTGGCGCCCGCATCACCTCTAATCTTCGATTCCCGCCAGGTGCCGGTTACTGTTCGATCCAGCGTTTCCTCCCGTGATTTATGCAGACGGGGGCCTTATTTTGTTGGCAGCGCGCGGCAGGCATGTAGGCGTGAGCACTGAACCCAGCGCCCCATCTGTCTGACTTCACGCAGGAGCACCGAGGTTCCCCGGGGCAAGGGGAGGGAGGCAAGGGTGAGGAAGCCTGTAAGCAGGAAAATGTAGCAACACATTCGAAGGCAACGCAATAAGCAACACCACTGGCAAGTCTCTGGGGGAAAGTCTAGTCAGAAGGGCAACGGTGTACAGTCCGACTCCTAAGACGCTGACCAGCGCCAGGGACCATGCGAGCTAATGTCCATCTCGGCCGGGACCCGTTGAAGGCGAAGCTGGAGTAGCCCACAGGCTCTGGCTGGACTTTCCACTGGTGCCACTCATCTGCATGATGAGCTTTCTTCCCTCCCGAGTAGTGGACCCACGGGGGACACCTGAGACCTTGAGGGCAGGAGAGGCTAGAGCCACAGTGCGGGGCCCTGTCTGCTGTGGTTTGAGGGGAGGTTTCCTCCAATCTTGGACTCAAACCGCATCCCGTCTGAAGGGTACCGGGGACCCTAAGGAGATTGGGGTCCTCTCAATGGTCTTTGTGACTCATTAACGGTGCCCCCCGGGCCTGAAACTGCTCCTTTGTCTCCAACGGGCTGTGTTTCCTGGGAGACTCTGGCACCAGGGAGGCCATCTGTATAACAACTAGGAAGGGGAGAAACTCAGTGTCCCAGGCATGCAGTGAGCACATGGGAGAGCTGGGGGTAGCAGATCCGGCCACGGAAGCTTAGTTTCCTGACAAACTTTGCTGAAGTCTCCTTGAGGGTACAATTCATTTGCTCCACTTTCCCTGAACTTTGGGGCCTGTAGCCAGTGTGGTCTCCAGGTGATGCTGAGAGATCTGGTCTAGACCTGTACGACGTCTGTACAGACGGAGGCCCATTGTCACTATGGAGTGTTAATGGCAGGCCGAACCTGGGCTTGATCGTCCTTTCCCCTCAGGACGACGGCAGGGAGGCGGACTTTTCTTTTCAGCTTCCCTTTTGGCTGTGACCTCCCTGTTCGTGCAGACCCTACTTGTAGCCTCTATTAGCTGGGTAATGTTCATCTGTCCCAGTGAAACCCACTAGGTTTCAAGTTTTCCCTCATGTCTGGGGCACCCTGAGCCATGAAGGAGGGGTTTACCATTTGCAGCTTTCCTGGGCCTCAAGGTCAAATCGAGTGCACATCTGGTAGCTTCAGTCTCTCGGGACCCCTGGTTCTTGGGTGACTGGGGATACCTTAGTCATGTACATGGGTTTCTTAGCTCCTGCCTGGATTCCCCAGAGGGCCTCCTGGCATCGGCGGATGCGGGCCTGTCCTTCATCTGTGGTGAAGTCCCATGCCGGGCGCTGCTCGGGTGCAGCTGCTCGAGCCCAGGCGGCCGGGCCGAGGCCTCCCGCTGGTGCGTGCTCCTCCCCTTACTCTCCTTTCCTCTGTTAAACATGGCGTGGTAACTGCTGGCAGTCCTCCCAAGGTGGCCCAGGAGTCTGAAGAGGGGCTCCAGGAGGTCTACCATAGCCTGTGGCTTCTCAGAGGAGGGTGGGGGGTTATCTTTCCAGTTGAGGAGGTCGGTGGTGGAGGAAGGCTGGTAATACATCACAGAACGGCCGGGTTCCCATCCCATCCCATCCTCATCATGCCTCTTGGGTTCCAGTGCCTCTCGTACCAGCATTGGAGGGCGCATGCACCCGGCCTGGGGCACAGCCCAGAGGCTGGTCCCAGAGGGAGTGGATCCTCCAGGCCTGGGGACAGTGGGGACAGATGGATGGCACTAGAATGTCTGGAACTGGGGGGCCAGGGGCAGACGGCCTTGGGGTTGCACACGTTGGGGACGAGATCAGTTCATCTTCGGGATCTCCAGCTAGGATGCGTGGAGGCTGGGGCTTCTGCGGGGGGTTCTCTGGGCCACTTGGATGAGGCGACTCAGAGCCTGGCCTGTCCCTGCTTATTTCAAGTGAATCCCGGCCCAGGGGGAGAGTCTAGTTGTCCTGGTTCTCCCGTCACCACTCGCCATACTCGACAAACCGCCGGACATCCCGTGTCCCTTCCCAAGGCCACCAGGCATTAAAGGGGTGCCACCCCAACTCGCATAGGGTTCTCAATTTGCTGGGGTTCATCCTGACTCCAGCCTCCTGAAAACCCCTCAAGATGTCTGATCGTGGTCTCGAGGACCATACTCTGGCCTGATCCCATGGTGAGCTCCCGCGTGCGGGGACGCAGAGACGGGGTGGGTGGGGGGGTAACCTGCGGTGGTGAGGAGACCCACCAGATGCCCCTCTGGCGGTCCCGAAGGAGCTCGGTGAGGTTGGCGGTGGTGGGGTCAGGCTGACTTACAGCCGGAATCCATTCCGGGGCCGCCCGGCAGACGGGCCCACTCGGGCTCCGCAGACTTCCGGGGAACCCAAGGGTGCCTGCCCTGGAGCCTCAGAATCAGCTCGCCTGGGGGCAGGCCACCGGGGGAGCACCACGCACACCTCCACTCCACACGCTGACATGCTCCCTCCCTAGGAACTCGGACCTGTGACACGGAGAAGTCTCCGGGAGGTCACCGGGCCCCCCTCCCCCTCCCATCCCAGTGGGTGCGTCTCTCCGGGTCCAGGGCCCTGGGCCCTACTGTGATCCGTCAGGACCAGGTCCTCCCCTGCCGCGGCCCCTGGGCCCGGCGGAAACGGCGGAGCAGGGCGGGTTGCGGGCATCCGGCCGGGGACTGCCCGACGTGAGGCAGGGCGCGCGTCCTGCGTTAGGGTCGCCCCCACCCGGGGCAGCGACGGGCCCCCGCGGGTGGCCTTCCCGGTGCGGGAGCGGACGCCGACGAAGAACCACGCGGCACTCGCAGGTCTCGGGAACACCACGTTTATTTGACGCCAGGGGGCTCGGACGAGGGCAGCAGCGCGGACACCTCTGCTTCCGCGCACGCGGCCTCCGTCCCTCCGGCGGGGTTCCCGCGAGGCTGCACGCGCGGGGAGACCGCCCGGCTCCCACCGACTCACCACGTGGCTCTCCGGCTCAGGCTCCAGGCGCGCCGGGCTCCCGCCTCAGCAGCGGGCGGCGGGCTGGCGTCCGCGGCTCCCCCGCCGCCCTGAAAGGCAGACAGCGCCGCACGGTGGGCAGAGGCCCCTCCCCGCCCCGGACGAGGCAGCGAAGCACCCAGGCCCCGCCCGCACGCGCGGCGCACCCCGAAGCCTCAGCCGCGCGCGGATAATCAGACTGCGAGCGCAGTTCTCATACGAGGTGTCAGAAGTACGGCAGCTCATCACAGGCTCCACGCCGCGCAGGGGAGGGGCCCCGCCCAGCCTTACCCGCAGGGAGGCGGAGGTCTGGAGGTTCCGACTTCCCGGGTCGGTGGGGGGTGACGAGCGGGGAGGCAGGAGCCAGAAGACGCAAACGGCGCCGAGGCGGAAGGGCGTCAGGCCGGACCGCAGGCCTGCGCGACCCCTCACACCCACGCGGGGCCGGCGCGCCCGCCTACGGAAGAAAACCCACCCCGCAGGCCGTCGAGCCGAAAGAATGGCGGCGCGCGTGGCTCAGGCTTTTATAGAAAGAGCCCACCACTGTGATTGGGCCATCCTGGCGGAAGTACCGCCCCCCCTCCCCGCTGATACGCTCCGGGCTTCCCCAGCCCGACGCGCAAAGCTTCTCCTTTTTGCAACGGGCCATCGAACATCATCGTGAGCGACAGCCGCAAACAGCCAGTCAGACTCCGACCTGCAACATAGAGTGATTCTAAAGCTGCCAATCCCGCCCTGCGACGTCGGAGCCGCCGGAAGTCGTAGTTTCTGAGGAGCCGCGCGTGATGCAGCCCGCCGGGCATTGAGAATCCCAGAACTACAAGTCCCGGCGGGCGCAGCGCACGAGCGCCTTCGGCTCGCGCCTCCCGTCCCTTTCCCCGGCTGGCGGCCGCGGGAGCACGATGAAGCGGGAGGGTGGCGCTGCCGCTCCCGGGCGGCCGCGGGCGGGTGAGTGTCCGCGCGGCGCTCCCGTCCTGGGGCTCGCGCCTCGGGGCCGCGCGGTGGGCGCGCCGGGGCCCGCGGAGGGATCGGGCCTGGGGGGGGCGGGGCTGACGCGGGCCGGGGTCTGCGCGTCGGTCGCTCGGTCGCTCCGTTCTCCCCTTCCTCCCTCATTCCCGCTTCCTGCGTCCGGAGAGCGCCGCCGGGACCCGGTTCTCGTGGGCGCTTCCTCTGCGGCGGCTTTGCTCAGCCCCGCCGCTGTTGACACTTCGCGCCGAGCCTTCTCCGCGGAGCTTTGGTGGAGGTTGAGCTGCCTTCCTGCTCTCCACCCACTAGACACGGTCACCTCCCCACCCCCTTCGTGACCACCCGAAACGCTTCCAGACATTGCCCAATGTCTCCTGGGGGACAGAGTCCTTCCCCCCCACCCCCGCTCGAGACCCGAGGATCCGGAGCGGGGAGCGATGGACAGTACCCACAAGAGCCCGAGGACTTGCGATGGGCGCTTTTAAAGGAGCAGGACGCCGAGGGGGAGTGCTGGGCGCTCCTGAGTGGCCTGGTGAGGGGGAGGTGCCTCCAGCAAGCAGCCTGGCGTGCGAAGTTGCTGGAAGAGCAAGATGTGCAAGGGACCCCGGGGTTAGAAAGGGCTTGGTGCGCCACTGAGTGCTGGCAGGGGTGAGAGGCGAGTCCCCATTCCAGGCTGGGGTGCCAGGCTGGGGTGCGGCTGCAGGGGTTGTACACAGGAGAACCAGCAGCAGGCCGAAGTCTAGTAAAGAGCCCCTGGTTGTGTGTGGAGGAAGAACTGGGGTTCAGTGGGGAAGAGGGAGAGTGAGGAGGCTGGCGGGTGTGTAGAGGAGAGTGGGCTGGGAGAGGAGGCTCCCACCGCTCCCTGGGTCTGGTTCCCGTTGTCTTGAACCGCTTGGACATGGAGCTGGGGCTGAGTCTGCAGTTCTGCTGGATCCCACTCTGCCTTGGAAGGAGACGGTGGAGAGCAAGAATGGAGATTCCCCTCCCCTACTTTGCTGCCTCCCTTGCTTAGAGCTCCAGGCTGCCCAGACCATCTGTCTGCCCTTCTCTCCATCCCACAGACCCCTCCCCACACACGCACAGGGCCCCTCTCTTTGGGGCTGCCCACCCCCTGGCCTTTGCCAAGCATGTGGCCTCTCTTCCTCATTCCTTCTGTTTGAGCCTTTCCCTTCCCACACCCCCTCCCTGAAGGCCTGTGTAGCAGACACTACCTCTCTGTCGTAGATCCCTACTTGAGCTGCTCTGGGCGTTGACGTTTCTCCATGGAATCCCCAGTCCCCCTGTCCCGTGGCTCCTATAGGGTATCGCTGCCCTATTGCCCTGATGTCAGAAACTCCCGCTGAGGGAAATGGGAGTATGGGCGGCCTGGATGAGGGAGGTCATGGGCTGAGAAGGAGGGGAGGTCCTCCTTTCGAGGGTTCCCCGTGGAGTAACCCCCACTGCGGCTGTGTGTGACAGTATCTCTGGAAATGGGTGCCACAGGTCAGTCTGAAGCATTGACTTAGCTGGGACAACAACCCCTAGAAAAGCGCCTCTGGTAGGTTGCATGGGGCTTACTGGTACTCCCGAGCCTCTGTCTGTCTCTCCTCCCAGGTCCTGTAGCTCCAGGTCAGACTCACGTTCGGCCGTCCGCACGCACGCCCTCTCCAGCCTGGGGACTGGGCTGCCGTGGGTGTGAACCAGGCCGCAGGACTAGGAGCGCACGACTTGAGAAGTGGGAGAGGTGGGGTGTGAGGGCCCGTATTGGCTGGGTGGCCCCCGGCAGCCTGGGTCAGTGGTTTGGCTGCCCCCTCCCTCGCGGCTCGTCTTGGCCTGGGGCTGGCTTCAGTGCACGGTGGGCTGCTCGATTCGGGGCTGGCGTACGCAGGAGGTGCTGCTGTAGAGGGGCCTGCCAAGCCCTCCACTTCCAAGAGACCCCCCCGGCGCCCTCTGTGCTCAGCTCGCCCTTTGGCAGAGGCGCTTGCTTCCTGGAGGAGCCTAGAGTCACGTGGACCAGACCTACGGGGAAAGGGGCCCTCGGGGTTGATGCTAATGTCACTGGCAGACCTGGTGCTTGACTGTCCCTAGCGGGGGAGGCCTGCTGTCTGGGAGTCTCGTTGGGGGGGTGAACCAAGCCCAGGAGCACCCACGCAGGAGTGGGGGTGCCCCACCCAGCAACGAGTGGGCAGGGCACCGGGTGGACAGTGGAGCGGGCTAGTGCGTGTCCAGGCCAGGCTGTGGCCTGCGAGTTTGTATACATGCCACAGCTTCTACGGGGAAGCAGAAAGAGGAAGGCGGGGAGACAGAAACCACACGGGGCGTGGTGAGGAACAGTCAGGGTGGCCTGGAGCCGTAGCCTGGGCCTGAAGCACTGCTGGCCGCTTGGCTCTCGGGCAGAGGCCCAGGACTGGTCCCCACAGGTTTAGACTCGCAGCCGGGGTGAGGGGTGGTGAGAGGAATGCACCTGGTTATGGGGGCCACTTTTACCTGCCCACACCCTCCCTCCAACTCAGGGTCTGGCTCAACTTTGTCTGCAGGGGCACAGATGGGAAGCGTGTCTTGGGCTGCATGGTGTGAGGGACTAGTGGCCCCCACAGCCAGGTGCTGCGATAGGACCAAAACCACCCTTTCCCAGAATGCTCTCTCCCTGCTCTGGATCTGGGCAGCCCCTTTCTCCAGGAGTCGTACATAGGGGACTACCCCAGGCAGAGGCCTCTCTGTATGGGAAAGAAAGCCCAGAGGAGGAGTCTGGCCCCAGGGAGCCGGGGGGGGTGGGGGGGGTTGGTGGAGGCAAAGGGAGTCCCCTGGCTGAGTCGGGGGTTAAAGGAGGGATGCTCTCCCTCCCGCAGAGGGGCCCGTGGGTGCTGGAGAGGCTGGACCGGGGTAGGCAAGGTGAGAGGCTAGGTGGAGGGCTGAGGACACAGCAGCTATCCAGTCTGGCAACCTTGAGGCCACTGTGGATTAGGACAGTGGGTACAGAAGCTGGGATGGCGGGAGAGGGCAGAGGCCCAGGCTGCCTACTGGGAGGGAAGGGAGGCTGGGGAGGCCTCAAACGGGCCTGCTGAGATGCTGAGGGGATCCCTGACATCACACCCTGCCTGTTTGGGATGGAAAAGCCACGCTAAGGGGACATCAGGGAACAGCTGGGGAAGCGTATGGGGCTTTGCTATGGCGACCGGCCTGTTTCTATAGGATTTGGCAGCCCGGCTTGGGCTTGGCCCCAAGGGCCCCGGGCAGGGACTGACCCAGGGGCTGGGTGGTCCGTGGGTGATACAAGGGGCTGGCCCTGGAGCTCTGGCTGTAGTCCAGCTGGCCACCCACGGTGCCATGCCAGGCAGGGCTGAGGTGTCCTGAGCCCCAGTATTCCCCCTGGAGCAGTCACCACCAAATGTGTGGTCTGATGGGGTTTTTGGGGTGCGCCTACCCCCTGGCTGGGTCAGCAGGGCTGTTCAGGAGAGCCCACCACACCCACTGCCTGGGGCCACGGTCGGGGTGGGGGGCTCAAGGTGGGGCTTGGCCCCAGTGGGACCTGCTTGTGGCCACCCTCCCCCCATTCCCTCACTGACAGCATGCACTGCCCCCTCCATTGGCTGCCAGCTGCACAGACCAAACTGGGGGGCCTGGTTCCCACATTCCCAAGGGTAAGGAATTAGGTGATGCCATTGGCCTCTGTCCAGGGGATGGGCTGGGGAGGGGTTCCACAGGGAGATGGCCTGTCCTCTGGTGCTCGCTGCCCAGAGAAGCGGGCTAATGAAAGGGCCTTCCCAAGGAGGAGCTAGGGGTGGGGAAGTCCAGGGGCTGGGGCATGATAGGTGCATCTCTAGTTCCTCGTCGGGCAGGGAACGCACCCCAGGGCCCCAGAAGCCCTTTGGACATGGATGTGGGTGGACAAAGATCCCTGGGCCTTGACCGTGGGCTCAAGCAAGGGGCTGCAGGGACGCTGATTCTGCACTGACCCTCAGCGCCCATGGGCACCACTGTCCCACCAGCCTTACCTGAGGTGGGCAGACCCATCTCCAGCAGGACCTGGGGTCTTCAGATTTTAAGAGATGGAATCCTTGGCTCCCTCCCTTGGGCTCGGCTGAGGCACCGGGAACAGGCAGAGTGGGGACTCCGCTGGGGAGGGGAGGGCAGCTGTGGGGGGCGGACAGCCTATCTCACCCTGCTCCTGCCCCAACTGTGCCTGGCAGGCCGAGCCCACAGCTTTTCCCAGGTTGGGCCAGTCCGGTTCTCTAGTTGACAGCACCCTGTCCGCCTGCTGGCGGGGGGCTGATGGGGAGTGGTGAGGAAGCCTATCCCCCAGGGGGCTGGGCACACCCTGAAGCACTGCTGGGCCCGACCAAGGAGGGTGAGGAGCTGTGCTGTTGTGTCTCCGGGTTTTGGGCTTACAGAGCTGGAGGATGCCAGGGGAAGACTCTTGCAAAATGCACCCCTGGGGAGCGGGGCCGGAAGCTCAGGCATCTTGCTCAATCCCACGGTTGTAGGATCTGATCCTTGCGGTCAGAGGCACACATTTGCCCGGGGGG